TGTTTTCATTCCAGTAGGGAGAATGTTCTCCTCCACATAACGCAGACAAAATTGTAGTAAATTACAGATATTGGGAATCTGAAGAGTAGTACTTCTAAAATCTGTAACCTCACACCAGTAAGCTCAGTTAGGAGGGCACTCCCAGACCATATGGTAAAATGAACTTACAGTTCCAGAGCATTTAGTACAAGCGGGAGAGGGAAGACTTCCCATCTTGCAAAGAATATAAGAGGTGTAAAAAGAGTGATGAAGGAATTTTGTATATAAGATTTCCTGCCACACTTCCTCTGTAAGATCAGGTACATTCTGTCTACAGTTGGATTCAGTCCTATCAAGCCGTTTAGTTCTGGTATGTTACAGGAAGGTATACAGTGGATATAAAAAGTCTACACACCCCTATAAAATGTCAGTTTTTTTTGTGATGTAAAAAAAATGAGACAAAGAAACTATTTCAGAACTTTTTCCACCTTTTAATGTGGCCTATAAACTTTACATCTCAATTGAAAAACAAACTGAAATCTTTTAGGAAGGGGGAAGTAAACATAAAAAAACTAACATAATGTGGTTGCATTAAGGGTGCACTCCCTCTTATAACTGGGGATGTAGCTGTGTTCAGAATTAAGCAATCAATTTCAAAACCATGTTAAATAGGAATCAGTACACACCTACCATCATTTAAAGTGCCTTTGATTAACCCCAAATCAAGTTCATCTGTTCTAGTAGGTGTTTCCTGACATTTTCTTAGTTGCATCCTACAGCAAAAGCCATGGTCCACAGAGAGCTTCCAAAGCATCAGAGGGATCTCATTGTTAAAAGGTATCAGTCAGGAGAAGGGTACAAAAGAATTTCCAAGACATTAGATAGATATACCATAGAACACAGTGAAGACAGTCCTCAAGTGGAGAAAATATAGCTCAATAGTGACATTACCAAGAACTGGACGTCCCTCCAAAATTGATGAAAAGATGAGAAGAAAACTAGTCTGGGAGGCTGCCAAGAGGCCTACAATAACATTAACAGATCTGCTGGAATATCTGGCAAGTACTGGCTGTATGGTACATGTGACAACAATCTCCCGTATTCTTCATATGTCTGGGCTATGGGGTAGAGTGGGAAGACGGAAGCCTTTTCTTACAAAGAAAAACATCAAATCTGGCTAAATTTTGCAAAAACACATCTGACGTCTTCCAAAAGCATGTGGGAAAATGTGTTATGGTCTGATGAAACCAAGGTTGAACTTTTTGGCCACAATTCCATAACATAAATTTAGCTCAGAAACAACACTGCACATCAGCAAAAGAACACCATACACACAGTGAAGCATGGTGGTGGCAGCATCATGCTTTGGGGCTGTCTTTCTTCAGCTGGAACTGGGGCCTTAGTCAAGGTAGAGGAAATTATGGACACTTCCAAATACCAGTGAATATTGGCACAAAACCTTCAGGCTTCTGCCAGAAAGGTGAACATCTGTCAGCATGATAATGACTGAAAGCATACATTCAGATCAACAAAGGAATGGCTTCATTAGAAGAAGATTAAAGTTTTGGAATGGCCCAGCCAGAGCCCAGACCTGAATCCGATCAAAAATCTGTGGGGTGATCTGAAGAGGGCTGTGCACAGGAGATGCCCTCGCAATCTGACAGATTTGGAGTGTTTTTGCCAGGAAGAGTGGGCAAATATTGCCAAGTCAAGATGTGCCATGCTGATAGACTCATACCCAAAGAGAGTGAATGCTGTAATAAAATCAAAAGGTGCTTCAACAAATATTAGTTTAAGGGTGTGCACACTTATGCAACCATATTATTTTAGTTTTTTCATTTTTCACTTACCTCCACCTAAGTTTTCAGTTTGATGTTCAACTGAGTTGTACAGTTTATAGGTTACATTAAAGGTGGAAAAAGTTCTGAAATGATTTATCTTTGTCATTTTTTTTTACATCACAGAAACCTGACATTTTAACAGGGTGTGTAGACTTTTTATATCCACTGTAGATAGTCCAGCCAAGCACATACTATGGATGAGCTTTACATACCAGTTCCTAGCTATGTGTCTTGTTGGTTTATTACCTGGATATGTTGTAGACAGTGTTAATTTTGATATGAAATTTCAATTTAGTTTTAGTAATAGTCATTTTAGTCGTATTTCAGTCATCTGTATTGTTTTAGTTTTAGTCGACTAAAATCTCCAGTACATTTTACTCAACTAAAATCTAAGGGGTTTGGTTAAATGGTAATGCATTATTTAAGCATTTCTCTAGAATTTCCAAATTCATTATATACTCCTGGAACAAAAATCTAACCGTGTTATTTATGGTATTAGGTTTGAACATGCACTACATACACAGATTTAGCCATTGTGATATGACTGTAATCAGTGTTAATTTTCATGTCAAATTTTGATTTAGTTTTAGTCAGTCTTTTGACTAAAATGCCATTTTAGTTTTAGTCGTATTTTAGTCATCTGAATTGCTTTAGTGTTAGTTAGTTAATAGTGTTAGTTCCGTGGACAAATTTGACACTGGTTGTAGATTCTACACTCTATAAGTTTATCCTACAAGACACGCTGCTGTGCTGAGCACACAAGCAAGTTTGAGGCAACAGGTTATGAGGTGATCTATATTTATAGGTAACATTATTATAGCATTTACTTATTTAAAATTGGCCATCTTTTCTTCAACTCACTACTGGAAGTTGCTCTCTGGCTAGCTACGTGGTGCTCATAAGACTCCCTACTATGCACTTCTGACTGCATATTTCTACCAACAATATTTTGAAACCCATCACGCCACATCTATTCCCTGTAAGGGAAGATCCTCACATAGCAATGACAGATTACAGGTGCTGGGGAGCGGGAGCACATTGGACAAACAGGGATTCTGCTGCAGGCCTGAATGAAACTCTACCTCTCGGGGTCGATAACATTTCCCTTCTTCCTGAGCAAAGTTTTACACCAACACTGCTCCAGCCTCCTAAGACTCCATTCACACTTGTATGACTCCAAAGCTGTGCAACTCTAATGCAACTTTGACGCATCTTTGGATGGGTGCTACTTGGATGAGATTTGTCCTTCTGCAAAGTTGGACTCACTATTGCACCACTGTTACATATAAAACACTCAGGTACAACTTTAATGCAGCTTTTGAGGGTTAACATTAAAGTCTATGGCCCTCAAGTTGCATGAAAGTCAGACCAAAGTAGTGCATGAGCTACTTTGAAATTGCTGCACATATATGAATGGTTATCCATGGAAAACATTGGGTACAACTTGTCATGCGATTTTGATGTCCAAAGTCGCATGGAAAGTCACACAAGTGTGAATGGGTTCTAAATCTGGCTCCCTCACAGACACGCAACATGCAGCCTGTCTAAAGCAGTATTCTCTACCGCTATGTCTGATGTATTCCAAGGACTATCAACACATCTGGAATTGGTGAATGTTAACACCCTTAAATACTCTTCTTGCTCTTCCTTACTAGATTGTCTCCACAGGTTATTATCTGACTTGCTTGGTGTATTTCCATTTTCAGAAAGTAAATGCTGACAGTTTAGCGGAGGCTGTGGATGATTTTTTACCTTCAGAATTTCTCTGTGAACTGTGACACATGTAGACTACTGTGGACCCATTTGTTGAAGCAGTTCATTCTGGAGTATGGATAGATACACATAATGCTGCTCATTTGTTTAAAAAATATGCTGTTTGAGTTTGAGTGTTTTTTTTTTTTTTTTTGAGCTTCTGCTGATCAGTGCTTCAGCTACAAGGTCCTTCTGCTGTTTTTCCTGTTGGCATGTTGCTGGTGCTTTTAGCTGTTTTTTTTATCTACCCCACGATTTATTGCTTCGGGACATCGATTAACCCCTATGTGCCTAAGGGTAATACAAATCTTGACTAAGCATAATTTTGCAACTTCGACATGTGTTAGCAAAACCATATATATCATCACAACTACTTTGTACATCCAGGTTTATTATACCTTGTTGTTTTAGGACAAATTGGGCTTTCATTTGGTGGCAAATGGTAATGGATATCTCCTGATTTTTTGTTTTATTAATTACCAAAGGAAAACTGGCTCAAAAATATAAATAAAAACAGATCTTTTTTTTAAATTTAGCTGTATTTTTCTTGCTACTACCATAACCTACCACCAAAGATCAACCCAAACTAATTTCTCCTGCTCCTGACGATTGCAGCGATACCATGTGTGTACGTTAGTTGTTGTTTATACCCGTAGTACACCCCGGAAACAGTAGTGTGCAATTTGCTTTTTTTAAATTGACCATGACCCCAAACACTAACCTTTGCACAGACCTAGATCAAACCTTGATCTAGGTATTTTTGTTTGTTTTAATTATTATTTATTTTTTTTATTTTTTTTTTTTACACACACTTCTTTTTTATTCTTCTCTCTGAAAGGACAGAGAGATACAGTGTATCTCTCTCCTCCATTCAGAGATGGAAAACAAGGGGGGCAGGCTTCCCAATGACACCCCTGTCTTTGTGCTGGGAGTATGCCGTGCGGCTTTCTCCCAGCAGAAAGACAAGTTCTGTGAGGCCACTGATTTGTGTGTGGTTGGCATCAAGGGGTTAGGATAATAGGAATTTTGATATACCTATAAAATTCATATCTTGTATACAGTACAGGACACCATTCCGTTTTCTTTTCTCTACAATCTTTCTGTTGGAGCCTAACCGAGTGGGCGGGATTATATGGATACACTGGGGGACAGTTTCCAGCAAATTCTTTTCTTATTGTCCTGTTATCTGAAGGTAGCTACATATAACCCATGGTCATGGGTTATATCAATTCCTGTCCTGTCCTGTACTCCAGATACCTGCAAAAGATGCCAGCCTGAAGTGATCTAGCAGGACCTAATTTTTTGACTAACGTTCCACTTTGAGAAGTCCATGAAAGGAGAGTAGCACTAGAATGAAATGTATTTTTACGTTAATGCATTTGTTTTACATTGATATTTACTGGTGCTCTTTAAATTTTTTTTTTTTTTTTTTTTTTAGGTGAGCAAAATGGTAATCGCAATCCAGGTGGTTTGATGATTGGTGATCTTGTGAATATTGATCTAGAACTTGAAATTGTTCAGTCATTGCAACATGGTCATGGAGGTTGGACTGATGGCATGTTTGAAACACTTACAACTACGGGCACTGTCTGTGGCATTGATGAAGATCATGATATTGTAGTACAGTACCCAAGTGGAAATAGGTACGGTCAGAAATTCACACATGCTCTTAAAAGTAAGGTGCTCTTCTGTTTTGTAGAACAAGCCTTCCAGCCTAATGCTGAACCCACATGGGCGTTTAGTCACGGTGTGAATTCCAGCAGCAGGAATGTACTCATTTGGTAGTTGTGAGTAGAAAGCTGCAGCCACTGAACCTCTGCACTGCAGTGACAGGCTCTTGGTGCCTGCAGCTTTTTGAGGCTGTGCACAGCCAGCAATTTACCTGCGGTGATCGCGGATGAACACACTTTGTGCAGACAGCCACGAATATCTACAGCTGCTGACAGCCAGTCATTGCAGTGTATGGGCTTGGCAACCTCAGCTATCCACTTACAGCTGCAAACCACAGCAATCCGCATACAACAGTTGTGGATGCAACCTAGGTTTTAAAATAAAAGCACTGCCCACCAGGTGCTTGCTATTAGTTTAATTAGATATTGTCCCTCTTTGCCCCCCTCTTAAACTGGCTTCCTTTTGTTAGTAAGGGTTTTAATCTTTGACTTCTGGACCTTCCAACTCCACATGCCTCTGTGTACAATGAGTGTCCTTAATGGCTGGTAAGGCTGTCTCTTTGGACAAGGGGACAGGACATGGGTTTTATATAGTAGCAAACACTTGGAAGCCAAGTCCTTAGAAGCCACAGTGATGGAACTGGCTAGAAGAAGCTTTTTAGCATAGGCAGTAAGATAGTTGGAACTTCTTAGGTAGGACTTTTAAAATCTTAGAATGGTTGACAGGCCTGAGATACGTATAACAATGATATTGTAAGCTTTAAATCCACAACAATAAATGTCAGTTGTGTACTTTGCCTAAATATGTTCAAGTGCAGACTAACCAGCTGGCTATTGTTTACAGTTGATTTCTAAATTAGCAGAAGTGCAAACTTGTAGGGTTCTATCCTAATGTTTGGGATGATAAATAAAAATGTTCTTGTTGTTTAAAGCAACCAATTGTATAATAATAGTACTGATTGGTTGCTGTGGACAGGAGAAATGTTTCATTTTAAAATGTCTCATGTAATGGCCCTGCAGGAGGTCTAAAATTGCAGTTCATATGCATTTCTCAAGTTGCGCTGGAAGAAATTTTAAATATATATCTAGATAAACATATATAGAAGTGGTTATAATCTGTAATACAAAGGTTGTAACTATTCACAGATACAGTTTGCAGACTGTGATTCAGAGAGACGGCAGTGACCATTCCAAGTTTATGACTGATGTGAATGTACAATATATATGTAAAGAGCTGCATAAATTGACGGCGCTATATAAGTACCTGAAATAAAAATAAAATGTTAGTCACACATTACACTTTTTTAACTAGCATTTGACTGTGTGAGAGATTAAACATCAAGCAGAACAGCCAACATCCCTGATGTATAATGGAAAGAAAGAAAAATTTGGTACACTGTAATAAAGAATTCTCAGCCACTTGACTGACAAATTTGTGCACGTCAGATTTCTCCTGTGTTTTTTACCAAAGGCTGATGTTGATAGATTTAAAAAAAAAAAAAAAAAAAAGGAAAAAACAAGCCTCACTTTTCGATCTTGGCCATTGACTTGGGTTAAGAGTTAAGTAGATTGAATAGAGTTTCTTCTCAGGTCAGTAAATGGTTGCTTAACATTTGGTTTAAAGCAGAACTCCAAAAACTTCTTTACATGTCCCTTTTTGCTGATCTCCTACCTTCATTGAATACATCTTCCCTGCTCTGGTTCACTCAGGAGTTCGGAAATAGCCTATTCATTTTCAAATCAAACAGTTAATTCTCTTTGGTTTCCTGTTTGTAAGACCAGTGGCTTTTATGCCTCCCATTCCCCCAGCCACTGCTCTTGGCACATCTCTACTGTAGTTCTTTCTCCAGTAAGCAGAGATGATAATTCAGCCCCACTTTGCAGTGGTGGGCGGAGCAAGACTGTCAGACACATTCAACATGTACAGGCCTTGCACCCACCCATATTCACTGCAGAGAGAGAGGAGAGAGGATGTTATGTAATCCTTGTTGTTACACCTCCTCCTTGGCAGAGCAGATGCTGTTATCTTTTAAATACAGAAATGAGGTCATGTAAATTCAATTAGACTTTTCTCCTAAATGGTAAGGATTTTCAAAATTGTATTAACTCTTTTTAGTGTTTTGTTTAGGGGGTGTACTGATGGGTGATTTTTTTTTTCTTTATTTTTTTTGCCTATCCTGGTGTTTTTCTTTAACCTACATACTTGCATACATACACACACTACACTTTTTATGTGTTCTGTATGGTGATTGTAGTTTAATTTTGTGTCTAAAAAAAAAATATAGAGGTTTTAATTGAGTTTTGTAATTTTATCTTCACTAGTACAAACCTTTAATGTGTAATTGGCATTTTTAGGTGGACATTTAATCCAGCTGTTCTCACCAAAGCAAATGTTGTTCGAAGTGGTGATTCTGCACAAGGAGCAGAGGGAGGATCCTCACAGTTTCAAGTAGGCGATCTAGTACAAATTTGCTACGATCTAGAGAGAATAAAGCTGCTCCAGAGAGGTCATGGAGAATGGGCTGAAGCCATGCTTCCTGTAAGATGCTCTTGTCTCTTTTCTTTCCCATATACTGTGTGTGACATTTGTGTACTGCTTAACGGTTTTGTTAGGCAGAATGTATTTTATTTTTGTAATTAGACAGGACTATACTGGACTTGCTAGTGTATGAGTTGTCTGTAACTCTATATAAAAGATAAAAGTACGGTAAAGGGAGTGAACGGTTTTGTACAATTTTTGTTTCCTATAACCACTTCCCAACCGGCCGTTGCATATAAACGGCCTGACGGTGGCAGTGCAAAGTCGGGTGGCCGTTTATACACGGCCTCCCCGCACCCTGCTTGTGCGCGCTCCCTGGGAGCGCACAGCACCGCGATCCGGTGCCCGCTGTGTCCTCCGGACACAGTGAAACACCGATCGTTGGACAGGACCTCTGTACGAGGTCCCGATCATGTGATCACTGATTGGCCAATCAGTGATCACATGCAAAGTAGTAAGCAAGATGTCACTTGTGACATCATTGCTTACTATGTGTGAAATCTGTGAATGATCACAGATCACAACAGGCTTGTACCATGTGACAAGCTGTGACCAATCACAGCTCGCTCAGTACTTCTCAATGAGTGCAAGAATGCACACAGAGAGAAAGAGAAATGATTGCTTTTACATCCTATATGGGTGTAAAAGCAATGTGTGAAAAAAAAAAAAAATCTTCATCACCCCCCACAAGTAGTACAGTGTCACCATGGTGACACTGGACTACTAGGGTGACCGTATGTAAAAAAAAAAAAAAAATAAATAAATAAAATAAAAATGTAAAAAAAAAGTTTAAAAATTATAATTTTTGGTTATAAACTAATTTGGATTTTTTTTTTTTACTAAAAAGATAACGGAATAAATTTTGGCAAAGATTTATGATGAAACATTATTTATTTACAAAATTTTATAAAAAAAACACTTTTTTTTCAAAATTTTTGGACTTTTTCATTTATATAGCAAAAAAAATAAAAATCCCAGCGGTGAATAAATACCACCAAAATAAAGCTTTATCTGTCTCAAAAAAATGGTAAAAAATTCATTTGGGTACAGTGTTGCATGACCGCGCAATTGTCATTCAAAGCGTGATAGCGCTGAAAGCTGAAAATTGCCCTGGTCAGGAAGGGGGTAAAAGTGTCCGGTCTGGAAGTGGTTAAAGCAAGGGTCTCCAAACTTTCTAAACAAAGGGCCTGTTTACCGTCCTTCAGACTTTAGGAGGGCCGGAGTACCCAGTGGGAGTAGAAAATGTCCCAGTGTCAGGAGTAAAAAAAAATGACATGCTTGTAGTCAGTGGAAGGGGGAATAGTGTCAAGTCATTGGTATTAGTTGGAGGAACAGTGCCCCATCATTGGTATTAGTGGGAGAAATATCTCATCATTGGTATTAGTGGGAGGAATAGTACCCCATCATTGGTGTCAGTGGGAGATATAGTGCCCCATCATTGGTGTCAGTGGGAGGAATAGTGCCCCATCATTGGTGTCAGTGGGAGATATAGTGCCCCATCATTGGTGTCAGTGGGAGGAATAGTGCCCCATCATTGGTGTCAGGGGCAGGAATAGTGCCCCATCATTGGTGTAGCAGGAAAAATAGTAGTTGGTGCTAGTGGAAGAAATGGTGGCTCCTTGTTGGTGTCAGTGGGAGGAATAGTACCCTGAGGGCCAGATAGAGGCAAGCAAAGGACTGCGGTTAACAAAATTTAAAACTTTTCTTTTTTTTCAGTTTTGGAGAGTGGAAAGGGTTTAGAACAGAACACCTGTCCTTATTTTTTTTCTGTGCCCCTTCAAGGAGATTCACATTCCCGTGTTGTTAGTCCTGAAAATTCTAAATTTTAAGTTGTCAACTGAATAGTAATGGAGGGGAAATATCCCAGTGGGGACACTAATTTCTCTCATTGTGTATGTTAAGGTGGTTGTAAAGGCTCAAGGTTTTTTACCTTCATGCATTCCATGCATGAAGGTAAAAAAACATTCTGTGTGCAGCAGTGCCCCCCAGCCCCCTCAATACTTACCTGAGTTCCATCGAGATCCAGCAATGTGCATGACAGTCTCGGCTGTCCTGGGTCTCTGCCTCCTCATTGGCTGAGACAGCAAGCGGGAGCCATTGGCTCCTGCTGCTGTCAATCACAGCTAGTCAGCCAATGAGAGAGAGGGGATGGAGCAAGCAGCTGCTCCGTGTGTGAATGAGTGACGGTGCTTGCTATGGGGGCACCTGACAGGAGGAGCCAGGAGAGCCTGTGGGGGACCCCAAAAGAGGAGGATCCAGGTTACTCTGTGCAAAACCACTGCACACAGCAGACATGTTTGTTGTTTTACAAAAAAAAAAAGAACCTTTAGTATCGCTTTAATGTGTAAATATACACTGCTCAAAAAATTTAAGGAACACTTTTTAATCAGAGTATAGCATCAAGTCAGTTAAACTCCTGGGATATTGATCTGGTCAGTTAAGTAGCAGAGGGGGTTGTTAATCAGTTTCAGCTGCTTTGGTGTTAATGAAATTAACAACAGGTGCACTAGATGGGCAACAATGATACAACCCCCAAAACAGGAATGGTTTTACAGGTGAAGGCCACTGACATTTTCTGATTTGTTTTTCACTAGTTTTGCATTTGGCTAGGGTCAGTGTCACTACTGGTAGCATAAGGCAGTACCTGGACCCTACAGAGGTAGCACAGGCAGTCCAACTCCTCCAGGATGGCACATCAATACATGCCATTGCCAGAAGGTTTGCTGTGTCTCCCAGCACATTCTCAGAAGCATGGAGGAGATACTAGGAGACAGGCAGTTACTCTAGGAGAGCTGGACAGGGAGGTAGAAGGACCGGTATCTGCTCCTTTGTGCAAAGAGGAACAGGATAAGCACTGTCAGGCCCAGCAGAATGACCTCCAGCAGGCCACTGGTGTGAATGTCTCTAACCAGACAATCAAACAGATTTCATGAGGGTGGCGTGAAGGCCCGACGTCCTCTAGTGGGCCCTGTGCTCGTGGCCCGGCACCACATAGCTCAATTGGCATTTTCCATTGAACACCAGAATTGGCAGGTCTGCCACTGGAGCCCTGTGCTTTTTACAGATGAGAGCAGGTTTACCCTGAGCACACGTGACAGATGTGAAAGGGTCTGGAGAAGCCGTGGAGAATGTTATGCTGCCTGTAACATCGTTCAGCATGAACGTTTTGGTTGTGGGTCAGCAATGGTCTGGGGAGGCATATCCATGGAGAGACGCACAGACCTCTACAGGCAAGACAATGGCACCCTGACTGCCATTAGATATCAGGATGAAATCCTTGGACCCATTGTCAGACCCTACACTGGTGCAGTGGGTCCTGGGTTCCTCCTGGTGCACGACAATGTCCGGCCTCATATGGAGAGAGTATGCAGGCAGTTCCTGAAGGATGAAGGAATTGATTCCATTGAATGGTCCCCACACTCGCCTGACCTAAATCCAATACAACACCTTTGGGATATCATGTTTTGGTCCATCTGACGCTGCCAGGTTGCACCTCAGATGGTCCAGGAGCTCAGTGATGACCTGGTCCAGATCAGGGAGGAAATACCCCAGGACACCATCCATCATTTCATTAGGAGCATGCCCTGACGTCAGGCATGCATACAAGCACGTGGGGTCCATACAAATTACTGAGTACCATTTGAGTTGCTGCAATGAAATTTCATCAACATGGACTAGCATGCTGCATAATTTTTTCACTTTGATTTTTGGGGTGTCTTTGAATTCAGTCCTCTGTAATCCTCTGCAATCCTCTGTAGTCCTCTGATAATCTTCATTTCCATCAAACAATGGGGACATCCTTACGTTCCTAACACATTACCCAGTCCATATCAGTATAGATATCCAGCATGATATTTTTCCCCATTGAGATCTGATGTGTTTTCAAAGTGTTCCTTTAATTTTTTTGAGCAGTGTATTTACACCTATACACAATTGAAAGGGTCAGCAGCTTGATCTGTTGTAGTGGCAGACTAGAAAAAAGTGGCCACATTGCAACAGAAAAACACATTAATTAGTTATTTGTACTGACTTTTTAGTGCAAAAATTTTAAATATTCTATCGTCACATACTTGCTTTCATATACCCAGTTGATTTCCTACTTCATGTCTGTTTTCATTGTCTGACCGTTTAATTATTCCTTTTACCTGAATATTGCGATTTTATTTATTTGTTTTCCCATTTTTTTTTTTCTCTCAGACCCTGGGAAAAGTTGGAAGAGTTCAGCAAATCTATTCAGACAGTGACCTAAAGGTGGAAGTTTGTGGGACCTCCTGGACATACAACCCAATTGCTGTTTCTAAGGTGGCCTCTGTTGGATCAGCAATAAGTAGTGCCACGGGGGGTATGTTTCGCTTATATGTGTTTAATTCTGCTAAAAGTTTTTTATTGTTAAATATAAAAATGGCTGAAAGACTCTAGTAAATGTTACTTATTTGGCACACTGTTACAGCATGTGCCTACGTTCTGCATTCTGTTCGATAGTGTTGATGGACCTTGTTAATAACTTTTTCTACATTGTCCAATGGGGGGGTTCAGACTTGAATTAAACTTCCACCTAGTGGCCCAGCAGCTTGAAACACGGGTAAACAGAATAATCTTAGATTGGTCCTAAATGTTCCCTTTTTTTTCCTTTTTTAACCACTTGCCCTCCAGAGGATTTAGCCCCCCTTCCTGACGAGGCCATTTTTTGCATTACAGCTCTACGTAACTTTTAACTGACAATTGCGCAGTCATTCAAAGCTGCACCCAAATTAAATTTCCGTCCATTTTTTCCCACAAATAGAGCTTTATTTCGATAGTATTTGATCGCTTGTGCGTTTTTTAAAATTTTTTTTGCGCTATAAAAAAATAAACAAAAAGACCGACAATTTTGAGAAACAAAAAATATTTTTTGCTTTATGCTATTACACATGTCCAGTAAAAAAATGAAATAAAATTTCGTCATAAATTTAGGCCAAAATGTATTCTGTTACATGTCTGCTAAAAGAAAAAAAAAATCCCAATATATGTAAATTAATTGGTTTAGGTGAAAGTTATAGTGTCTAAAAATGGTGGTATATATACTGGAATCTTTTTTTTTTTTTTTTTTGTATACTAGTAATGGCAGTGATCAACGATTTATAACGGGACTGCGGCGGGCATTCTGACACTGGGGAGGAAACTGACTAACTGTCACTGACATTCCCAGTGACTCCAATACAGTGATCAGTGCTAATAAAATGACACTGTACTAATGACACTGGGCAGGAAGGGGTTAACATCTGGGGCGATCAAAGGGTTAACTGTGTGCTGTTTCACTGTGTGCTTTCCACTGTAAGCACAGTGCTTTGTAGGGCTCTGCTATGCAAAGCAGTTTGCAGTGTGTATTGTTTACATACATATACACGTGATTTTGCACACCCCTGCCACCCTGTAGCAGTATTTCTGCTATAGGTCGGCGGGAAAGCGAAAAAGCGGTTAAAGTTTTACTACACCCACAACATTATAAACCAGTCTGTATATGCAGTAAAGCATGCTTGTTATACACACTGTGGAACCTAACAGATTAATCCTCCACATTGTGTAAAAAGGCTGTTTTATCCTGTCTTCTCTGATCCTGCCCTTCATCTGCTGATAGAACAGAGCCTTGGGGCCAAGCTGCACATGCTCATTTTGGTGTGTATTGCTAGAGAGGTTTTATTTGTTTTTTCCCTGGGAGAGTGCATGTGATCAGCACAGTGCTAATCAGCGCTGTTCAGACAGAGGCTCAGGGGTTATGCAGCCTCATAGGACAGTTGGTAGAATGAAAACTCCTCATACAAGCTTTAACCAGTGCTCAGCTGGATAGTTATAGAAGTCACAAGACTGCTATATACTGCTGAAGAGAATAGGTATTTAGCAGTTTATATTTACTAAAATAATTGTATTTCCATGCTCTGTGTACTGTAGGAGACCAGATATAGTGAATGCAGAGTTATATGGGTTTATTAACGCTTTAATGCCTACATGTTCAGCAGTGTGGTAAACATTCTGACTATTTAACATGAATGATATGTGGCCACAAACCATACTTTATCTCTATTCACCACTGACGGCTTTGGGTCCCTAATTGCCTTTTCTCCAACTTCCTTTTTTCCTTTTGAGTAAGAGTGCACACTTGCAAAGGTCAAAGTGAAAGGCACGGGTGCCAGCAGCCAATCAGCTTTGAGGAGGGCAGTGGCTTGCACAGGCTTTGTTCATTCAGCACTAGTGCTGGCCAGAATCTCACACGCAAGGCGACTCCGTAGAAACTATCAAGGGAGAGGAGACACCCTGAATATGGATACTGCGGTCAGCACTGGGGGACTGTGGGGGGGACAGCTGAAGCAGCAGTAAAGAAGAACTTTTTGACAAAAAGAGGCAGCATCACAGATAAGTCATCGCCTACGCAAGTGACTTACTAAAAGATATATATATATATATATATATATATATATATATATATATATATATAAAAATTTTTTTAATCGCTTTAGGCCAGTCCCCCAAATAACCCCACTTCTACCCATAAAAAAGTAAAATATTGAAGCGAGCGCTACAAAAATATATATAAGCAGCTGAAACACTAAAGGGTACACCATAAGCCTTCAATAGAATCTCACATAAAAGTGCAGCGCTAAAAATAATAAAAGAAATCTTGTCAAGCAAATGAACATAAATGATAGATGCATTATAATCATAAAATGCCTAAAACCACTAGGAAATCTAGTCCCCTACACAAAAACGCACAGGCACCCTGATGCGTTTTCAAACATAAATGTCATAAAAATCTTAGTATAATCTTCCAGAAAACTGTCAGAATAATGGCCAGGTGATTAAGTAAAATTCCAGTGTATGGATCCTCAGGTGGGTGTGCGAATAGATATATGAAATGCGCACTCACCAGAAGCGCATACATATAGCGCGTTGTATCGTATACTGTTGGAACAGTCAGGGATCCCTTCTTAGGATGGTCCGGAATGCAACCTGGGAGTGGATGGCCTTCCTTAGGTTACAGGATATTGGCAAGCCAGGGTAAATGGATCAACCTTGTCCAGGCTCTGGGATTTTCACCGGGGATTGCTGGGAAGTTAACCAGTAGCCTACTGGGCACTTATACCCCCTTCCTGCCCAGGTCAATTTCCAGCTTTCAGCGCTGTCGCACTTTGACAATAGTGCGGTCATGCAACACTGTACCCATATGAAATTTTTAGCATTTTTTTGAGACAGAGCTTTCTTTTGGTGGTATTTAATCACCTTGGGGTTTTTTATTTTTTCTTAAACCAAAAACCACTGAAAATTTGGGGGGAAAAAAAAGTTTTTTCTTAGTTTTTTGTTATAAAATTTTGTAAATAAGTGATTTTTCTCCTTCACTGATGTGCTCTAATGAGGCTGCATTGATGGGCACTGATAGGCTTCACTGATGGACACTGATAGGTGGCACTGATGGGCACTGATGAGGCACTGGTGGTACTGGTGGCACTGAAAGGCAGCACTGATATATGGCACTGTTAGGCAGCACTGATATATGGCACTGTTAGGCAGCACTGATATATGGCACACTGGTTAGGCAGCACTGACTGGCACTGTTAGGCAGCACTGACTGGCACTGTTAGGCAGCACTGACTGGCACTGTTAGGCAGCACTGACTGGCACTGTTAGGCAGCACTGACTGGCACTGTTAGGCAGCATTGACTGGCACTGTTAGGCAGCACTGACTGGCACTGTTAGGCAGCACTGACTGGCACTGTTAGGCAGCACTGACTGGCACTGTTAGGCAGCACTGACTGGCACTGTTAGGCAGCACTGACTGGCACTGTTAGGCAGCACTGACTGGCACTGTTAGGCAGCACTGACTGGCACTGATGGATGACACTGAAAGGCAGCTCAGATGGGCACTGATATGTGGCATTGATGTGCACTGGTATGCACTGATATGTGGCACTGATAGGCACTGGCACGTGGCACTGACAGCTGGCACTGATGGACTTTGACAGGTGGCACTGCTGGGGCTACACTGATCATCAGGGCACACTGATCATCAGTGCCCTGATGATCAGTGTACATGTCCCCTCCGCGGAAAGCCAATTACCAGCTCTATTCTCGAGCTGTCAGCGTGACAGCTCAAGAGGAGAGAAATGCCGATAACCGGCATTTCCGTGTTTACATGTCCATGTGATTGGACACAGCTGATCACATGACCGAGCCGACATCTTCGGCTCTTTCCGTGATTGGTGATCCACTGTGTCCGAGGGACACCGCGCACCGCCGATCGCCGCGCTGTGCGCTCCCTGAGCCGCGCATGCGCGGTGAGAATGGGAGGAAGTCATATGATGTCTTCTCAGAATGAGAGAACCACCTTGCGCCCATCATTGGACTATATGGCGGGCGGGAGGTGGTTAAAATGCTTGGTGCAGAGCAAAGAAAAGGGGTATTCCCATAGTGTAGTATTTAAATGATGCTTTAATGGTATTAAATAGTACAAAAATAGTATAAAATACAAACATGTACACTTGCAGTGCAAAAGATGAAGCAATAAAATGACAATTGCATGAATATAACACTGACCAGCTGGTAAAATAAGGTGGCTGGCATGATCCGGCGGCCTGACGTCACGGCGTTCAGGGCTCCTCCTTAAACCTCTACCCAGTATGCCTCAGTTTTTTTGCCAACCTAGGAGGTTGGATGTGTTTTCTCTTGCTCTGGTCAGGACAGGTTCCCAGGGAGTTTGCATCAATCATTTGGGTGCTAAGGACACCCCTTTTAGCCCATTGGTTAAATGTGAGAGCATCTTCTTTGGCTGCCCCTTGTGCTACTTTATTCAGCAGTTGGTCTTCCTAGGTTCCCTGCATGGTTTGATCCTCTTTTCCTGTGTAGGTGAGAGTTTTACATCAGGAATTTTCTCCCATCTGGAATTATGCTCCTTTGACCAGGAGAATTTGTATATCCTGGATGCTATTGAATCACTTGGGGGGGGGGGGGGGGGGGGGTTAGTACCCTTCAGCAGCCCACTTCTTTGGAGGAGCCCCTTAATTTTACAGGGTCATTTGGGACCAGTTTCTGCTGCTCCCTTGCTTAACAGGAGACCGGCCCCTGAGCATCCCGAGGCATCTGCTACTTTCCACATCTCTGGGCCTTTTGCCTTACCTAGTGCCTTTCCTGGCATCCCCAGTATGAGTGTGTCTTACCACAACTTAGATCACACCAATGCTAGGGAACCCTCTGCTCCCCTGGATTATCAGCAGACAGCTGCTACTGGAACCCTGCTGAAGATACCCCCTGCTGGGAAAGGAGTACATCACATGGAACCTGATCACCTGAGGTTAGATTTTTTTCTTCCATGGCTGATTAGCAGGCTTTTGTGGAAGCTTCTCCAGATCCCCTCCTCATTTTTTCTTTTTGTTATCCGGTCAATGTTCTGCTTACGGTCCAGGTCCTTCGCTCCATGACTTTGGATGCTTTTCTGGACCAAGGTGCAGTAGAGGATGCTTAGTACCATATTCTGTTTCTAGTTTAGGCATTTCATGCAGAGTTCCTCTGATATGTAAGTGGATTTTTCTTTATTTTCCAGTTTGCTGGTGTTCTAGTGGCAGTCTAGAGCTGTAGTATTCTTTCATTCATACCTACCCTTATTTTGGGTACGTTTTGCGCACCTTACCTTATTCAGTCAGATTGACCTCATAGTTGGTAGTAGTTTCAGGGGTCTTTTGGATAGTTCTGTGGATATTACATTGTGATTTCTTTGTTTTTCTTCGCTACCTCATGCGCAAGAAAACTTTTAATCTGGTACCTCATATTCCAAGGATTGGGAATGTGTGAGGCTTGGGCTTTTGTGCTTGTAGATGGTCTCTGTAGTGTATCTGGTCCCCTATTGTGTACCTGTGGTTTTTTTTTTTCTGTCTTGTCCATGGTTTGCTCTGGGGACCTGTTTTCCTGGTGTTTGCACAGCTTTTTTGTTGACCATATCACCTTGAAGGACTAATTATTTCTTATGAGGTTGTTGCTTGTTATACGCCCTTTGATGGTGTTTTAGTTCACAGCACCTTCTGGTGTAGTCTTTCACCTTGTTTGTGATCTACTCTGTTGTGGTTCAGCTTTGGTCATTGGTCCTCCTGGTAGTCCTAGGTTATGGACGCTTTCTTGTCCCTTCTTGATTCTGTCAGTGGCTGTTGCCCTCCTCTCAGCTGAACTGATTTTGAATGATCCCAGCTGTATCTGAATTCCCTTGTCCCTCAATTTTATATGTGAGCAAGCTTACGTTTTTTTTTTTTTTTTTACCAGTCTCCCAGCCTTGTGTAGGTGGCAAAATCACCCAGCTGTTTCTAAATTCTTGTGTCCCTCAATGAATTTTGAAGAAGATTTTGTGGTAAGTATTTTTTTTTGACCTTCTCCAATTAACAATGGCAGAAACATAGAGTTAAACTGTCCTTAGCAACACAGAAAAAGTGTTGGCATGTCTCTGTTTTTTGTTATCGATCATTATTGAGTTATTCTAAAGGTAATATGAGCCATGAATGGTTTTCACGTGTTACTTTTTGTTTCCATGATCGCTTCAGTTTGTTTACAAACAGCTATGTTTGACAAAGGTAGAACCTACAAAGCAGTTAACTTACTTGCTGAAAGTGAACCTGTGCTTTGCCTTCGCATGGAGAAGGATAGGTCCTTTGTTAAGTATTTATTGCTTTATCCCCCTTAGAAAGATCTCTCCTCATTTTATTTCTCAAAGACTACTGTCATCAGTACAGGAAACAGCAAAAAATATCTCTGCTGATGATTTAGGTGCAGTTTTAGCCTTTTTTAGTTCGTCTTTGGAATGTTGTTTAAAATTTCACTAAAGCCTAGCAAAAAATTTAGAGTTTACTCTGCTTAGCGTTAGATATTCATTAATATTTAGGGCCACAAATATTATTTTTCTGTACCCAGAATCTATTGTCATGTGACAAGCAGGACCTCTTTCTGTAATGGTGGCAGTGTAAGCTGCTTCTTGTAAGTGTCTGGTGTCATTACTGTCCACCTGAACCTTAACCCCAGTGTTGTAAGCTTTGATTGATCAATACAGGACGTTAAGCTTCCCAGCAAATGGACAGTGCTGATATCACCAGGATGTGGCATGGGCACTGTTTGACCTATCGAAAGCTGCCTGTCGTGTGCTTTAGGTGTGAATTTGGGGGTACTGATTAAAAAAAAAAAGACCTGAAAAAAATGTTTTTTATTCTTGACAAGCCTGGAGTACCGGTTTAATGCAGAGGTAGCTTGGAAAATTTCTATGTAGCCTAGTGCTGTTTTTTTTTTTTTTTTTTTTGTTTTGGTCTGTGCAGACAAGGGAGTTAAGCTTGCACAGTGTTTACTCCCCATCGGGCCATTAGTCAAATCAGAAAGACATAAGAGAATCCCAGAGAGGAAATTCATTAGATGTTGTAAGAATGTCTCACTGCATATTCTCCAGGCATCAGTCTTACTCTTTTAACATTTGCCATTCTTTTTGACTCCACAGAGAGGTTATCACAACTTTTAAAGAAATTGTTTGAAACACAAGAATCTGGTGATCTTAATGAAGAGCTTGTGAAAGCTGCTGCAAATGGAGATGTCGCTAAAGTGGAGGACTTGCTGAAGAGGCCAGATGTTGATGTGAGGAGCTTTCAATTCAGTTGTCTTGACGTTTGCTGATTATGTAAATTCTGCTGACCAGATGTTTAATTACATTTTTTTCTCAACATTCTAAGGTAAATGGTCAGTGTGCTGGACACACAGCCTTACAAGCTGCAAGCCAGAATGGACATGTTGACATTTTGAAGTTGCTTCTCAAGCATAATGTAGATGTTGAAGCTGAGGTAATGTTTCCTAAAGATATTTTTACTTTTTTGCTTCTTCAGATAAAGAATCGAAGTTTTGATTGTCCATGTTCTATATACATTCTTCAAACAGAACCGTTATTTGATAATTATAAAATTCTATTGGAACATACAGTATATGAAGAAAAAGTGTGGTTGAGGGCCCATACAGAGTAAATGAGGAATTTGTTTACGTGTCTCGAGCTGCATGCAGATAACCTATATTGGTGAATAGAGACGCAGCTGCTGTGTGGACACACCCATACATCCAAGTTTGATATATACGCAGGAACTGGTACACTGGCCCAAACATAATGTGCATTCAGGATTGTGCACCTATTCCTGCATGCATGCCAAACTTGGATGCTCAGGTGTGTCCTTACAGCCGCATCGCCTCCATTCATTAACATAGGCGGACAGCACGCAGCTCTGGATTACTCTTTCATGCTTTATGGGCCTTGGTGCCCCTGTGAATGAGGCCCAATGATTTTTGCTAAATTCTTGGTTTTGTATTTTTTTTTTTTCCTATATACAAATGTATCAAACATTTAAAATGTTTTTTTTCAAAACCAAAAATAGTACAAGGAGGATCCATGAACATTTGCTTCTTTTAATAACGTTTAACACTGTCTGGAGTTGATTTAGGGTGCTCTCTGTGACATTACCACAGGTTCCTTCTGCAGTGACACCCCTCAACATGTGATCCAGCTAGCACAGGACTTGATGTAAAAAAAAAAAAAAAAAAAAAAAAAGAACGTATTCCCCCATCCACAAAAGCGAGGTAGATGGGAGATGCAAGAATCTTCCCATCTTAGCTAATGTATTCTGATAGTTGGAACTCCCCTACTGTCCGAATATACTGATCAGCGCTGAAACCGATTGGCTCCAGGGCTGATCAAATGAAATTTGCTAAATAAATTGCTGAATAAAAATAAAGGGTTTTTTTCTTACTTTACAGGAAACAGGTTCAGAGACAGCTGGGACATAGGCAGTTGGACATTGGCAAAAAAAAAAAAAAAAAAAGCTGCGACAACCCCTATATAACCTCTCCTGCTTCTAGCAGTCCTTAGTTATTTGCTAGTGGCTTTAGGTGTTTAATGTATTCTTACTGAGTGAGTGTACTTTTGAGTGTTAGGTGCACTTTCCGATCTTCTCCAATCAATGTTCCTCGATGTTATGTGTGTACAGCGGCATTTTGTGCAGTTTACCATTCTCTGCTCCATGGCGAGCGCTTCAGGTACTCTACCTGGATACCAAAGATCAGGATAAAGGATCCCAGTATTGGTCTTGCTGCCACTGGGGCTGGGGATTACAATAATTATCCCTGTGAAATCTTCCTTGGTTAGTTTACTTAGCTGTCCCCCTCTGACTCTCTTCCCTCCATGGACAATTCCCTTCTGGTATCTCACACTCTCATGTCTTGGTAAGAAGAATTTTGCAACATCTCTGTCTGCCCTCATGGGACAAATCAGTCAGGGGCGCAAGTGACCCTCTCCTCTGCCGGGATCTATCACTGATATGACTCTAGGGGGGTATCTTACCCAGAAGAGGATAGTAAGGCTGACAAAGAGGAGTCAAAAACTTGTGTGGTGCTAGAGTTACTGGAAGCTTCCTGGCCTAAAGTCACCAGTATGGGTTCCCTTAAAAACTGCAAGCCATCTAAGACCTTTACTGCACACTTCCTAGTGAAAGACATATTTCAGGGCAACTGCAACATCCTGAAATTTCAAAGAAATATGCTCTGCCTATGCTCTTTGCTCAACAAAATCCTATAAAGGATTTTTTTTTTCAAATGAAAATAGTGGCTGGTCTCGTGGGAGGATTAGGATGTTGCCTTCTTAACATATCTCTGATGGTACCGCTAGAGGATCTCCTGGCCTTTCAGAAGGCTGTAGATAAGAAACTTGAGATCCTGTCCCAAGAACCAGGACCCCCTGTATGGACATTGAGCTTCTTTGTCACCTGGAACTCCTGCCAACCACCCTGAGGTATTGTGTGGATGGACTAGCTATTTCCCTGCAACAGATGTTTAAGGTGAGCCTGTTCTGTCTATCCACATGCACATACTGGTCAGCAGAAAACCAGTTGAAGAATTCCCTTTGCAAGAATTTGCCTGTTGCCTAACAAATGCAAGGCTTCGATTCCAACAGATAAGTCACCCAACCTTTACTCAAAGGAAGGGTTCTCTTTGTCCCTCGTGGGGGGTGGTGGTTAGAGGGTTCTACTCTAACTTGTTCGTGTTCCTAAAACCAGAGGTGAGTATCCCATCTTAGATGTCAAGGTCCTCTACAAAAACTTGACAATCGCAAAATTATGCATAGAATTTGAAAGGTCAGTCATTTCCTTTCTTCAATAAAGAGATTTCCTTGCCTCTCTTGACCTCCTAAATGCTTATTAGCATGTCCCCATTTATCCTCCGCATCATCACTTTCTGCGATTTGCCTTGGGAGAGCAGCATTTTAAATCTGTGGCCTATTCACATCCCCTTGTGCCTTCACAAAGGTTTTGACCCCTAACTTTACCTCGCTTTAGTTTCAGGGTGTTCACATTTTGGAATATTCAACTTCAAAAATCTGCATCGACTCTGACTTATTGCTTGGAGTACCCAGGTCTTATCTTGAACATGACTCCATCTCAAGTGTGCTCCCACCAGTAGAAATTCAATTGTTGAGATCTCAGGCAAGGGCTCTTATGTACCATTGTCAACCCTTGATGCATTTTTGTGTGAAAGTCCTGAAACTGGTTGTGGCCTCCTTCAAGGCTGTACTGTATGCCTAGTTCTACTTCAGGCCACTACAACACAGCATTCTGACTGTAGGGCATAATTAGACTTCTCTGAATTGCCCCATGCGCCTGTTGGTGGAAGCCAGATACTTTCTAATGCAGTAAATACTCAATCTGATACTGGATTCGTGGAAGTCCTGTCTCTCAAAAAATTGGACAGTGATCATGACAGATACCAGACTTGTCAGGCTGGGGAGGTACCCTTCTGAGGTGGGCAGTCTGCCTTCGGGGACTTTCGACACATGTTCATTCAGACAACACCAAGGCTGTGGCTTACAAAAATTACTGTGGCGGGACCAGAAGTGGTTCAGCTCAGAGGGAAGTGGACCAAATCCTGTTCTTGGCAGATTCATGTTCCAGGCCTTGTTGGCCGTACACATTCTGGGTAAAAAATTGGCAGGAGGATTTTCTCAAATGCCAACAGCTAGACTTGGGAAAGTCGTCTCTGCTCCCTGAAGTTTTCTAGGCTATTTGTCTGAACAGCAGGCACCGGACATGAATCTTCAGGTGTTGCAGTTCATCCACAAGGTGGAGAGGTTCTTGTCTTCGTTTAGGGATCCAAGGACTTTTGTGGTGGATGCACAGGTAATCCCATGTGATCAGTCCTCTGTAGCCTCCCTAGCGGTCTGATTATTTCAGTATTTCTGTGCTCAAAGCGGTAAATTTTTTTGCATGGAAATATATCAAACCAAAAACACTGAAATTTGAAATATAGTGCCAAGTTCGCACATCACCGAGCAGTTGCAAAATCAGAACTGAGGTTTTCTGGGAGCAGCAGGGGTTATAGGGGGACCTCACAAGATTTTTTTTTGCCGGTGTCCAACCACCTGAAGGTATCTGCCTGTAACCCAGTCATTTCTGAATATGCCTGTGTCCTGTACTTGTGTACTGCAAGAATTAGATTTTACAGGTACGTTAAAAAATTTTTAAAATTTTTTTTTCATTACATGTTTTTTTTTTAGACCAGTGACATCATCACTAGGTCTTTGCTCTTCTCTATGCAATGCAGACAAATCATGGCTGGTGGGGGGGTCCCAGCAGGGTGCTGTATGTAGCTTCCTGCAAATGAGGAGCTGTGCAGAGTGCTGCCAAACCAAGTAAGCAATATCCGTACAGGAGAATAGCTTGTACAACTGTGCAATATGGAATATGACACTGGAGTTTAGCTTTAAAGTGTATGTAATTTATTTTTCAGTATGTCACACATCATGTCTAGCTATATACAGTTTTCTTAAAGTGGAACAAACAGTTTGTAATACTGACCTGCACTTCAATGGTCCCGCACCGCCACTGTCTTCATTGGCTGGTGCGGGATGACGTCATCCTGGCACACAGGATCTATGCTGGAATGTATACTGAGCTGCACATATGCAGCTCAATGTATATTCTAGAGGAGACCACGAGCAGGCAGATAAGTTTCTTATTGCATGTCTCTTCTGCCTGGAAGTAAATGCTACATGAATCATCTGCCCTTATTTAGGATGGCCATGGCCAGAAATGCTAGGGGGTGTCTTTTCAGAGTGATTTCTCAGCAAAATAAAGAATGGAGACAGGAGTTTGTTTAGACTATTAAAAAGAAATTAAATAGTGTTTTTTGGTTTGTGGCGCTCAGATTCAGTGTCAATCAACTTTAAGGTTCTTTGACTCTGTTTTAGTATGTTTTATTTTTTAATTGGCTAACATAGTGTATGCTTAAATTCTTTTATGAATTTTGTAGGATAAAGATGGAGATCGTGCTGTTCATCATGCAGCATTCGGAGATGAAGGTTCTGTGATTGAGGTGCTGCATAGAGGTGGTGCAGACCTAAATGCTCGTAACAAGCGCAGACAGACACCATTACACATTGCTGTTAATAAAGGCCACTTACAAGATTGTTTAAAAACTTTTACTGGATTTCGGTTGTCATCCTAGTCTTCAGGTAAATTCCCTGTCCTTCCTTTTTAACCCTTATATAATGCGAATTGGTACAGTTGTGTCCAAAAAATTATTCAACCCCCACTGAAATTGAGTGTTTTGGCCAGTTTGACATTGCTTTTGATCATTCAGTCATCTTGCTTACATTTACATTAAAGAGGCACTTGTAGGTCAGACAAATATAACATAACAGTTATAATGAAATAACCACAAATGTCTTTTCTGTGCTCACAGCATTATCAGTTTTATTCAACCCCCAAGTGACATTCAATCTTAGTACTTAGTACAGCATCCTTTTACAGTTATAACAGCTTTTTAAACGTGAAGCATAGCTTGACACAAGTGTCTTGCAGCGATCTACGGGTATCTTCGCCCATTCTTCATGGGGCAAAGGCCTCCAGTTCAGTCACATTCTTAGGCTTGCGCACTGCAACTGCTTTCTTTAAGTCCCACCAGAGGTTCTCAATCGGATTTAAGTCTGGTGACTGCGATGGCCACTCCAAAATGTTCCAGCCTTTCCTCTGCAACCATGCTCTAGTGGACTTGGAGGTATGCTTGGGATCATTGTCCTGTTGAAAGGTCCAAACGTCTCCCAAGCCTCAGGTGTGTGACGGACTGCCATCACGTTTCCATCCAATATCTCCTGGTACTGAAGAGAATTCATGGTACCCTTGCACACGCTGAAGCTTCCCTGTACCTGCAGAAGAAGCAAAACAGCCCCAAAGCATGATTGACCCTCCACCATGCTTCACAGTAGGCAAGGTGTTCTTTTCATCATAGGCCTTGTTCTTCCTCCTCCAAACATAGCGTTGATCCATGGGCCCAAACAGTTCTAATTTTGTTTCATCAGTCCACAGAACACTATCCCACAACTTTTGTGGTTTGTCCACATGGCTTTTGGCATACTGCAGTCGACTCTTCTTATTCTTTGGAGACAGCAAGGGGGTACGCCTGGGAGTTCTGGCACGGAGGCCTTCATTACGCAGTGTGCGTCTTATTGTCTGGGCTGAAACTTCTGTACCCACATCTGACAAATCTTTTCTCAGTTCCTCAGCAGTCACACGGGGACTTCTCTCCACTCTACGCTTCAGGTAGCGCACAGCAGTCGAAGTCAGCATCTTCTTTCTGCCACGACCAGAAGTAGCGTTTCAACAGTGCCCTTTGCCTTGAATTTGCGAATGATGCTTCCTAAGGTGTCTCTTGGTATGTTTAACATCTTTGCAATCTTCTTATAGCCATTGCCCTTCCTGTGAAGAGAAATCACCTCTTCTCTTGTCTTCCTGGACCATTTATTATGCTTGATTGCTGCTCGGTGACATCCACAGGTGTTTTCAATACCTGATGGAAAGCACCTGTATGAACCTCTGTTCTTCAGAGTGGTAGTCTTTAAGGGGTTGAATAATTGTGGCAATGAAGAAACCACATAAGAACCATTTACTACTGTATTACATAAACAATTGATGTCATTTTAGTTGCATTTTGGGTAGTTACAACGTCCTTGTAGGATTTGATTCTGAATACAATTCCAAATGTACACTATAGTCCCTAAACCCCTTTACAGCATTGGGGGTTGAATAATTTTGGACACAACTGTAAGTCTTGCCAACCATAAAGTGTTTCAGGCATTTGCATTTGTTTTGATTTATTAGGTATGCTTAAGGGCTCGTTCACGTGAGGGGTGCTTTAATGCTGGCCCCATGCAGGTCCGTGTTTTCCTGGCATGCCTGTGTATCCCATACCTACGTTTTTTTAATTTCTATTTGGACACCTGCACGGAAGTAGAGAACAGTCTGGCAGCTGAAAATTTCAAAATATAATAATGGCACGTTTTTCAGCAGTTTAAAACTAGAATGTGTCAATACACACTAAGATGATATGCTTTAATTGTTTTAAGTAAACTTTGCTAGTTAATCGAGCAAAGTAAAAGCTAATTGTATTTGTCTTGGTAGTGTATTATATCTTTCACTATATACTGTCTATACTAGATTTAAAGCGGAACTTGCAAGACATTTTACATGTTTCCCATACTGGTGTTTTCTCCACAGTGGTCTCGATCTTGTAATGGGCTTCACGTTTTAGGTCAGGCCATTATTGTCTGGGGATTCCTTGTTAGTTATCGGGACTGGAATGTCTTATATACATCCTCTGGGTGTAATGGGAATTCACCATGTACAGCGGCTGTTATATGCAGCATAATGATACAGCATTTGTTAGATTGGGTCTTCCCTCCACTTTATTTAAACTAACCACTGTTTCTTCTTTCAGCTGGACTTTGTTTCTCTCGGCAAGGAAGTGATGTTTTTTCTTTTAACGTTTGTGCTGTTTACTTTGCAGCTAGGACATTTTTGTGTAATTCAGTTATTACAGTGCACGCATGTGCCCGTAATGGCTGCTTCCTGCCCAAGCTCTGCTCTTTCTTTGCAGAACATAAACTGGCAGTGGGGTGCGTGCCTGCCAAAAGTGGAGGGGGTGCACACACTCTAAACTAACAGGAGCAGGAGGTGTTGCTCCAGTGCCTGCACCACCGAGATGTCTGCTGGGTAGCATCTTATTCTGGCTTCAGATTGGCTGAGCCACTGACATCAGAGGGGCAAACAGCAGAGGGGCAGGGCCAGTACACATGCACAAGCTTCTCTCCCCTGCTGCTAGTTCTTGTGTAAGCTCTGTGAAACAGTTGGCAGCAGAGCAGGAAATTTAACAGCAGTGCTGCAATTACACTACTGCCAGCATGTTGCAATTTCCTCATTTGTCCCCTGACACTTCAGCTGTCAGTCATTGTTAATTTTTCTGTGCCATACAGTTGGATGATCATCCAGTATTGTAGTGTACCTGACATCATCATGTGACTACTGCAGTTCTTTAACATTTAGCTTGTATTGTTTGGTTTTCACTATTTTCTCTGGCTTTCTATGGTCACACTGCATCTGTGAGAGCACCACAAATATTGTCCCCATTTATCTTGAAGGGAGTTCCTTATGGTCTGGTCCAAATGTCTGCTGGGTACCTTTTCTGTTAAAGCTCTCCAGTTGCCATCTTAGCCCCAGTTTCTTTTTGTGTTAGAACAATAGTCACAAAACGTATAAAACAGAGAATTTGCAAAATAAAACAGGGTACATGCTTTAATAATTTACAGTTACTACAGGTAATACAGTATGCTACTTCAGTGAGGATACTTTAAACAACTCTGGTATACAGTATCTCACAGAAGTAAGTACACCTCACATTTTTGTAAATATTTTATTCTATGTTTTCATGTGACAACAGTGAAGAAATGACACTTTGCTACAATGTACAGTAGTGAGTGTACAGCTTGTATAACAGTGTAAATTTGCTGCCCCTTCAAAATAATTCAAAACACAGCAGCCAGCCATTAAGTCTAAACCGCTGGCAACAAAAGTGAGTACACCCCTAAGTGAAAATGTCCAAATTTGGCCCAATTAGCCATTTTCCCTCCCCGGTGTCATGTGAGCCTAGTGTTACAAGGTCTCAGGTGTGAATGGGGAGCAGGTGTGTTAAAGTTGGTGTTATCACTCACCATTTCATACTGGTCACTGGAAGTTCAACATGGCACCTCATGGCAAAGAGGATCTTAAAAAAAGAATTGTTGCTCTACATAAAGATGGCCTAGGCCAGTGGTCGGCAAGCCGCGGCTCGCGAGCCACATGTGGCTCTTTACAAACTTAAATGCGGCTCTTCTGTGTGCCGGGTGCCCGCTCCCCTCCCTCCTCTCGGGCGGCCGCCCGCTCCCCTCCCTCCTCTCGGGCGGCCGCCCGCTCTCCTCTCGGGCGGCCGCCCGCTCCCCTCCCTCCTCTCGGGCGGCCGCCCGCTCCCCTCCCTCCTCTCAGGCGGGCCGCCCCGCTCCCCTCCCTCCTCTCGGGCGGCCGCCCCCTCCCCTCCCTCTTCTCGGGCGGCCGCCCCCTCCCCTCCCTTCTCTCGGGCGGCCGCCCCCCCCCTCCCTCCTCTCGGGCGGCCGCCCCCTCCCCTCCCTCCTCTCGGGCGGCCGCCCCCTCCCCTCCCTCCTCTCCGGCGGCCGCCCCAAAAGTCAGGACTCTGCAGCTGTCAGGATGTAGGCGGGGCAGCCAGGATGTAGGCGGGGCAGCGTGACGAACTCCTCTCCTCTCACAGTCTGCCCTGAAGACCAGAACGGCGCGGGAATACGGCGAGAGGAACGCGCGGAGCAAAGGTAAGTGAATTGACACAGGGGGGACTTACTATATGGGGGATGAATTTCTATATGGGGGACTTACTATATGGGGGATGAATTACTATATGGGGGACTTACTATATGGGGGATGAATTACTATATGGGGGATGAATTACTATGGGGGATGAATTACTATGGGGGATGAATTACTAGGGGGGATGAATTACTATATGGGGGATGAATTACTATATGGGGGATGAATTACTATATGGGGGATGAATTACTATGGGGGATGAATTACTATGGGGGATGAATTACTATATGGGGGATGAATTACTATATGGGGGATGAATTACTATATGGGGGATGAATTACTATAGGGGGGATGAATTACTATATGGGGGGATGAATTACTATATGGGGGATGAATTACTATGGGGGATGAATTACTATATGGGGGATGAATTAATATGGGGGATGAATTACTATGGGGGATGAATTACTATGGGGGATGAATTGCTATATGGGGGATTAATTACTATGGGGGATGAATTACTATATGGGGGATGAATTACTATGGGGGATGAATTGCTATATGGGGGATGAATTGCTATGGGGGATGAATTGCTATATGGGGGATGAATTACTATGGGGGATGAATTGCTATAGGGGGGATGAATTACTATGGGGGATGAATTACTATGGGGGATGAATTGCTATAGGGGGGATGAATTACTATAGGGGGGATGAATTACTATATGGGGGATGAATTACTATATGGGGGATGAATTACTATATGGGGGATGAATTACTATATGGGGGATGAATTACTATATGGGGGATGAATTACTATGGGGGATGAATTACTATATGGGGGATGAATTACTATATGGGGGATGAATTACTATATGGGGGATGAATTGCTATATGGGGGATTAATTACTATGGGGGATGAATTACTATGGGGGATGAATTACTATGGGGGATGAATTACTATGGGGGATGAATTGCTATAGGGGGGATGAATTACTATAGGGGGGATGAATTACTATATGGGGGATGAATTACTATATGGGAGATGTATTTTCAGTTTTAAAAATGTGGCTCTCAAAATAAATTTCAATCGTGGTTTTGGCGAGATTTGGCTCAGTTGAAAAAAAAGGTTGCCCACCACTGGCCTAGGCTATACGAAGATTGTAGCAAAGTGTAATTTCTTCAGTGTTGTCACATGAAAAGATATAATAAAATATTTACAAAAAGTGTGAGCGGTGTACTCACTTCTGTGAGATACTGTAGGTACAATAAAAGTGTGCAGTGGGATCAAAAGGCAATGTATAACAGTAGTCATTGAGGGATAAAAGAGCTGAGAGTATAGTAGGAGAGGGGGAAAAAAAGCTTTATGGGAGGAGGAAGAATCGGCACTAAGTTTATACAGGGGTAGAATCCCATTTGTTGTCATCTTCCAACTGTAAACAGTTAGCAGGGACACTGTGATTTCCATGTCAAAGAATTTCCTGTCGCATAAAAGGCTGAGCAAAAGGTAAATGGTTTTACATACCGGGAAGCCTCAATATTGTAAGTGTGACCAAGTAGAAAAACAAGTGGGTTATTTGGCTAAGATATCTCCCCTATCATATTTATATTGTAAACTACCTCCATCCAGTAGTTTTGGCATTGAAGGCAGGTTCATATTGCATACAAAAAAAAGATCCAGTCTCAATGCCACACCTAGGACATTTTTCTATCATTTGTGAATAAATAGTGGCCAATTTTGGGGGTTATAGTCTACTCCGTATAAGGATTTAGGCTGAGGTAATATATCTGTGGCTAACATTGTTAGGCAAGAATTATTATTGGCATTCATCCCAGTCTGCCCAATCAGTGATAGTATGTCACATTGCCGTTTCTGACATAAGGAAGCTAGTCTGGGTTTATCAGCAGCATTCATTTGAGAGTATACGCATACAGTGAGGAACAGAAGTATTTGAACACCCTGCGATTTTGCAAGTTCTCCCATTTAGAAATCATGGAGGGGTGTGAAATTCACATTGTAGGTGCATTCCCACTCTGACAGACAGAATTTAAAAAAAAATTCAGGAAATCACATTGTATGATTTTTAAAGAATTTGTTTGTCTTGCACTGCTGAACATAAGTATTTGAACACCGGAGAAAATCAGTGTTAATATTTGGTACAGAAGTCATCCTGTCCCTTTGCAGAAAAGCACCCCCCAAAGCATGATGTTACCACCCCCATGCTTCACAGTAGGGATGGTGTTCTTGGGATGCAACTCATCCTTCTTTTTCCTCCAAACACGACGAGTGAAGTTTAGACCAAAAAGTTCTACTTTGGTATCATCTGACCACATGACTTTCTCCCATGCCTCCTCTGGATCATCCAGATGGTCATTGGCAAACTTAAGACGGGCCTGGACATGTGATGACTTGAGCAGGGGAACCTTCCGTGCAATGCATGATTTGAAACCATGACGGCGTAGTGTTCTACCGACAGTGACCTTTGAAACTGTGGTCCCAGCTCTCCATGTCATTGACCAGCTCCTCCCTTGTAGTTCTGGGCTGATTCCTCGTCTTTCTTATCATTAGTGATACCACACGAGGTGAGATCTTGTATGGAGCCCCAGTCCGAGGGAAACTGACAGTCGTCTTTAGCCTCTTCCATTTTCTAACAATTGCTCCAACAGTTGATCTATTTTCACCAAGCTGCTTGGCAATTGCCCCATAGCCCTTTCCAGCCTTGTGGAGGTCCACAATTTTGTCTCTGGTGTCTTTTGACAGCTCTTTGGTCTTGCCCATGGTAGTAGTTGGCGTCTGACTGACTGTGGGGTGTACAGCTGTCTTTAAAGAGCTCAGACAGGTGCTACTAAGTTAGATTAATGAGTGGAGTAGAGGTGGACTTTTTAAAGGCACAGTAACAGGTCTGTGAGAGCCAGAATTCTTGCTGTTTCTTAGGTGTTCCAATACTTATGTTCAGCAGTGCAAGACAAATTCTTTAAAAATCATACAATATGATTTCCTGAATTTTTTTAAAAAATTCTGTCTCTCAGAGTGGGAATGCACCTACAATGTGAATTTCAGACCCTTCCATGATTTCTAAGTGGGAGAACTTGCAAAATCGCAGGGTGTTCAAATACTTCTGTTCCTCACTGTATGGTGGGGGTCTGTACTAGGGTTGCAGAGGGATAATGCTTCCAGTAGGGGGAAATGTGGCAATGCAGATATGTGGGTGGTGAGTCCTAAGGAAGTGGAAGAATGTTTCACCAAGGAATTAAGGCCCCTAATGTTCCTTGAAAAACAACTAAGAGTAGACATAGTGATGGTCAGGTGTATAGGCAGGCTGATTGCAACTACTCAGGTGTAATCTAGGGTGTATAGTGTCAGAGGCAGAATATAATGAAAGTAATTGTACTGCACTAACATAAAATTACAATGACATACAGAAGTAACGTGCTATATTGTATCAATAATTATACAGAAAAAACAAAACTTTGAATTCTCCTGCCCCAGCCTGTCTGTCGCACAAAACTGACACAAACCTAAAACCCAAAACATACCTTTGTGAATAACCATTTTGAACTCGCATAGTAAGGTTCAAAAGTCAGGGTAATATTAGAGGTGCTGCTTCAATGTAATGAAGATGTTGGTCTCTCAGAATAAACTGAAGACACTGTATGTTAAGGTAAGTAAAGGAACAAGATACAAATAACTGGATAAACAGAGCTTTGCAAAGATTTTCTCATAAGATGGGGTGAATCAAAGCCTTCCAACCTGCTCAAATCAAAGGAAAGGCAGTGCTCACAATATTGCAAATAGAGTTCCCATACATGCTGCCCAATTCAGGAAGTACTCACAGTGGATGGAGAAAAAACGAGATCCAACATTGAAGACAGATGTTCGGTATGAACCAAGTTCCAACAGGTATAGTAGTCTGAGGGAGAAGATAAGGTTACACCAGACAATCTGCGCCCCCTTAGTCCCACTGGAAATCCATTTGGGCAAGGAGGGATGATAAATCCTCAGCATTAGGCAATGAAAGATATAGCAAACAATGAGACCTGAGTTCCAGCAGAATCTCTAAATGAGCGTAAGGAATTGGTCATGAGCAGCACAGGACATCCTAAAAGAGATATTCAGAGGATCTGTTCAAGGAGAGTTAGGCAAAAAGTAGTAGCACAGAAATCACCTGTCCAGGTTTATGGGATGTCTCCAGCCATGTTGCAGCTTCCTCTGGTGAAGTGAAGTATCTAGTGCAGTGATGGCGAACCCGTGGCACGCGTGCCACAGCCGGCACGCCGAGCCTTATCTGTGGGCACGCCAGGAGAATCTTCCCGGCTGTAGTGTGCGTGACAGCCGGGTCCCAAGTGCGCATGCACAAGAAGCAGTGCTCTTTGTGAATGGTAAGGCGGTACCTGGGACACATGACAGATCCCAGAAGCCGCCGGACCAATCACAAAGCGCAGCGCTTCTCGCGCATGCGCACTGGGCATCCGGCTGTCCGAGCGCCCACACTACAGAAGCCAGGAAGACAGCGCGCGGCTGGATAAAGGAACAGGTAAGATAAAAAAAAAACTCTGCGGAAGTAAGAGCGGGTACCTGTCAAATTCAGGTACCCGCTCCCCCTCCCTCCCCAAAGGTCAGCAGTCATCTCTGTACTGTCCGCAGTCTCTGGTCATCCCTGTGCTGTCCGCAGTCTCTGGTCATCCCTGTGCTGTCCGCAGTCTCTGGTCATCCCTGTGCTGTCCGCAGTCTCTGGTCATCCCTGTGCTGTCCGCAGTCTCTGGTCATCCCTGTGCTGTCCGCAGTCTCTGGTCATCCCTGTGCTGTCCGCAGTCTCTGGTCATCCCTGTGCTGTCCGCAGTCTCTGGTCATCCCTGTGCTGTCCGCAGTCTCTGGTCATCCCTGTGCTGTCCGCAGTCTCTGGTCATCCCTGTGCTGTCCGCAGTCTCTGGTCATCCCTGTACTGTGTCCGCAGTCTCTGGTCATCCCTGTACTGTCCGCAGTCTCTGGTCATCCCTGTACTGTCCGCAGTCTCTGGTCATCCCTGTACTGTCCGCAGTCTCTGGTCATCCCTGTACTCTCCGCAGTCTCTGGTCATCCCTGTACTGTCCGCAGTCTCTGGTCATCCCTGTACTGTCCGCAGTCTCTGGTCATCCCTGTACTGTCCGCAGTCTCTGGTCATCCCTGTACTGTCCGCAGTCTCTGGTCATCCCTGTACTGTGTCCGCAGTCTCTGGTCATCCCTGTACTGTCCGCAGTCTCTGGTCATCCCTGTACTGTGTCCGCAGTCTCTGGTCATCTCCTGTACTATGTCCGCAGTCTCTGGTCATCTCCTGTACTGTGTCTGCAGTCTCTGGTCATCCCTGTACTGTCCGCAGTCTCTGGTCATCTCCTGTACTGTGTCCGCAGTCTCTGGTCATCTCCTGTACTGTGTCCGCAGTCTCTGGTCATCCCTGTACTGTGTCCGCAGTCTCTGGTCATCCCTGTACTGTTAATTAGTTTGCACTACTGTACGAGTTGTTTTTTCTAAACCAAAAGCTCGATATTCAGGTTTCATTGCAGTGTTGGCACTTTGAAAGAAATAAGTTGGTTTTGGGTTGCAGTTTGGGCACTCGGGCTCAAAAAGGTTCGCCATCACTGATCTAGTGTCTTCTCTATTCTGAATATGGAGTTTGGCCAGAAAGCGCATACTGTACGGGGATACCTTTTGGAATGAAGTTTAGCCCTACGTTCATTAATGAGTGTTGCAGCCCCTGGATGTCAACCGAGTAATTAGGGAAGATGAGAAGATTTGCATTTTCATATTGGAGATATTGCTGCATTTTAGCAACTTTAAGGGTTAAGTTATGATTTCTGAAGTTTAGTAGCTTGTGGCAGCAGCGAGCGGGGGAGGTTCTCGATAAACAAGGTAGGATTGGATCCCTCTACACCAGTGGTTCTCAACCTTTCTAATGCCGCGACCCCTTAATACAGTTCCTCATGTTGTGGTGACCCCCAACCATAAAATTATTTTCGTTGCTACTTCATAACTGTAATTTTGCAGTGGGAGGACTAGTGCCACATCATTGGTGTCAGTGGAAGGAGTAGTGCCCCATCACTGATGTCAGTGGGATGAATAGTGCCCCATCGTTGGTGTCAGTGGGAGGAATAGTGCCCCATCGTTGGTGTCAGTGGGAGGAATAGTGTGTCAGTGGGAGGAATAGTGCCCCATCGTTGGTGTCAGTGGGAGGAATAGTGCCCCATCGTTGGTGTCAGTGGGGGGAATAGTGCCCCATCGTTGGTGTCAGTGGGGGGAATAGTGCCCCATCGGTTGGTGTCAGTGGGGGGAATAGTGCCCCATCGTTGGTGTCAGTGGGGGGAATAGTGCCCCATCGTTGGTGTCAGTGGGGGGAATAGTGCCCCATCGTTGGTGTCAGTGGGGGGAATAGTGCCCCATCGTTGGTGTCAGTGGGGGAATAGTGCCCCATCGTTGGTGTCAGTGGGGGAATAGTGCCCCATCGTTGGTGTCAGTGGGGGGAATAGTGCCCCATCGTTGGTGTCAGTGGGGGGAATAGTGCCCCATTGTTGGTGTCATTGGGAGGAATAGTGCCCCATCGTTGGTGTCAGTGGGGGGAATAGTGCCCCATCGTTGGGTGTCAGTGGGGGGAATAGTGCCCCATCGTTGGTGTCATTGGGAGGAATAGTGCCCCATCGTTGGTGTCATTGGGGGGAATAGTGCCCCATCGTTGGTGTCAGTGGGAGGAATAGTGCCCCATCGTTGGTGTCAGTGGGAGGAATAGTGCCCCATCATTGGTGTCAGTGGGAGGAATAGTGCCCCATCATTGGTGTCAGTGGGAGGAATAGTGCCCCATCATTGGTGTCAGTGGGAGGAATAGTGCCCCATCATTGGTGTCAGTGGGGGAATAGTGCCCCATCATTGGTGTCAGTGGGGGGAATAGTGCCCCATCATTGGTGTCAGTGGGGGGAATAGTGCCCCATCATTGGTGTCAGTGGGGGGAATAGTGCCCCATCATTGGTGTCAGTGGGGGGGAATAGTGCCCCATCATTGGTGTCAGTGGGGGGAATAGTGCCCCATCATTGGTGTCAGTGGGGGGAATAGTGCCCCATCATTGGTGTCAGTGGGGGGAATAGTGCCCCATCATTGGTGTCAGTGGGGGAATAGTGCCCCATCATTGGTGTCAGTGGGGGGAATAGTGCCCCATCATTGGTGTCAGTGGGGGGAATAGTGCCCCATCATTGGTGTCAGTGGGGGGAATAGTGCCCCATCATTGGTGTCAGTGGGGGAATAGTGCCCCATCATTGGTGTCAGTGGGGGGAATAGTGCCCCATCATTGATGTCAGTGTGGTGGAGGGGGAAATAGTGCCCCATCTTTGGGGTCAGGGGGGGGGAATAGTGCCCCATCGTTGGTGTCAGTGGGGGGAGGAATAGTGCCCCATCGTTGGTGTCTGTGGGGGGAGGAATAGTGCCCCATCGTTGGTGTCTGTGGGGGGGAGGAATAGTGCCCCATCGTTGGTGTCAGTGCGGGGGGGGGGAGGAAATAGTGCCCCATCATTGGTGTCAGTGGGAGAAATAGTGCCCCATTGTTGGTATTAGTCACACAAATGATGGGGCACTATTCCTCCCACTGACACCAATGATACTTACCTTGCTGACCCCTGCTCCAGCCTGGGCTCGCTCTCTCACTTACCTGTCAGCTGTCTTCCTTCTCTGGCCGCTCTCCTCTTCACTTACTCCGGCAGTTCCCTCGATCTTCTTAGATCTACGCGCGCTGCCGCTCGGCTCCTCCTCTCCGAGCTCCACCTCCTCGCCGGTGATTGGCCGCCTGTGTGCCTCTCCTGAGCTACAGTTCCGGTGGCCAATCAGCGGCGAAGAGGCGGAGTTGTTGAGGGATCCCGGAGGTGTGGCCAGGTGACAGGGCAGCGTGTCATCCCGCCCACACATCGACTGAGTCAGAGGAGCGGTGTCTCGGTTCCTAAGACCATCGGAAATATGTTTTTTTCCGATGGTCTTAGGCGACCCCTGGGAAATGGTCGTTCGACGACCCCCAAAGGGGTCGCGACCCCCAGGTTGAGAACCGCTGCTCTACACCCTCAGACACAGGATGCGGATATTATTCCTTCTATTGTTGATTTTCAGCATCCTCAGTTCTAGCTTTTAGTGCTTACTATTCGTTTTCCAAGTGTGAAGGATAGCTGTGTGATCATGTACCATGTCCTCTATTCTACTCATCTGTTCTACCAGTGTTAGCTTCTAGTAGAAATTATCCAAGTCCCTGCGAATCAGACCGATGTCTGTTTTTAGATGTTTCATTTTTGTAGTAAATACTGTCTGACAACTTGAGATAACTGAAAATTGCTGGTAAAGTTTACCTGATTCAGTGAGGGCGGATCGCAGGGCTCAATCTGCCTCATCATATCTAAGGAGCAGGTAGGCCTTGTTGTCAGTCCCATCTTTTTGGCTTTTTGCATCTCCCGTGCTTTTAGGAGCACTGGAGTCCTTCATTTGGTCATCTCCAAACAACAAGGGGAGACAGGAGAGCAAATGAGGTGATATCCGGAGCAGTCCACACACCAAGAATTGTCCTGAGCATCTGTTTAGGCAGCAGAGCTCCGCAACTACATGGCCTGTGAAGACTGAGATTGAGCCCTGCAGTCACTTTTGCAGTAGTTGTTTTCTTATTCCGGGTCACAATCTTACGCAATGTTCTTTTGTCTTTTTCAGTCCGTTCATCATATCGACTGCTCTAATGCTTATCGGATGACGGTTTCCTGGAAACTGTATATGCCGTCATAAGCTTTTGATACTACACCTCTTGACACAGCAAATAAATTGGCAACTTCAATCATAGAGGCACCAGCTAAGCGGGCACCAACAATTTGGCCACTTTGAAGCTCAGTAAGCTCTGACATGACTCTGTATTACTAGCAACACATGTAGTGAATGCCTAAAATGAGCCTTCCCACCTGTTAGCTAGGTGTCTCGTTACACAGTGGAAGCAAAAGAGTGTTACATCACATCAACGTGAAACAGGTCACTTTCACACCTGCAAATCATTTTTTGTTTCCATTTTTTGTCCAACCTCTGTAAGTGCTTTGGGAAACCATTAAATTGATGGGTTTAGTTCTACTTTAAATTATACACCTCACAAAGGACAGCAAAGGCTGTCTGCTTTGGGTCAGAATTCTCTGCAGATCCAGTATTCGATGAAGATGAATGCCATCTCTGATGGAAGTATTGTTCAGACCTCCAGACACTCAGCCCTTAACTAAGTGTTTTTCTTTCTCTTTATTGTTGTGGACAGATTTCTCCCATCACTTTTTTGACTTAATGGCTCATGTTTGTGATTATACTTTGTTTATCCATGAAGTAAGCATAGACACATGGCTGTCATTATTACTTCATTTGTGCCAGTCTGCAATTTGCTTCCTGTCCATACTCGGGCTTAATGTTTAGACTAAGCCTTTCCCGTCTTACTGTTCTGAAAACATTCTTGTTTTGTTTCTCCCCTTCCGTCGAGTTCCACAAAGCCATGTTCTCAGTCTGTCCACGGAGTCTGGCACAAATCCTTGCACTCTTTCCTGAGCTTGGATTCCAAGGACTACAAACTTTTTGCTTCCTGCCCCATTCTCGGATTCTCACTTCCAGCCCTCCTATGTTACCTCACAGCTTAGCAGATCTCCATCTCTCAGGTTTTTTGAATCTCCATGTTGTTGCCTTGGTTTCCATATTAGAACGGTTTTAGCTTTTTAATGTCTACTTGTTCATTATTCCTATACATATAGAAAGCTATATAGGCTCTACTTTTTATCATTCAAATACCCATAGGGAGCTGTATAGGCTGAATCTTGGCTGTCCTTGTTCTGACTATCTTCAATTGAATCTGGAATTGTCGTTGTTGGGCCCCTGAGCTTCTACTCTATGGCTTTGTCCTTCTGGCCTCTTGTCTGCAGCTCTAGTGCTCACCAAGATGCTGGATGTAGTATCAGCTCTGTTGTGCTTTTGTGGCATCATCATTGCAGGATGCTTAAAAGACCTCCTGATTTTGTATCAGAGACCTATATTTTGATTTTATTACAGCACTTAGTCTTTTTGGGTATGAGTCTATCAGCATGGCACATCTTGACTTGGCAATATTTGCCCACTCTTCCTTGCAATAACACTTCAAGTCTGTCAGATTGCAATGGCATCTCCTGTGCACAGCCCTCTTCAGATCACCCCACAGATTTTCGATCTGATTCAGGTCTGGGCTCTGGCTGGGCCATTCCAAAACTTTAATCTTCTTCTGGTGAAGCCATTCCTTTGTTGATTTGGATGTATGCTTTCGGTCATTATCATGCTGAAAGATGAATTCCTTTTCATGTTCAG